AAAATAGTTCTTTGGGAAAATGTCAATGAGACTCTTCACAGGCATTTTCACACCATTACATAAGAAGATGGCACAGATATTTCCTTCCCACAGAAATTATATTGATGTTCAAGGGGGAAACCAATAATTCAACCTCCTGAAGTAAAAGATGAAGTTAACTTCACCTACCTACGCAATTACGAAAGCTAGGCAGTAAGGTACAGCACTTTGCTGATGCATTTACGATTCTTAGAGATCTGACAGGCACCCTTTGGGTAATTCTCTAGTTTTAAAAACACAGAATCACAGAATGGTTTGTGTTGGAAGGGACCTTAAAGCTCATCTAATTCCAACCCCCTGCCATGGGCATGGGCACCTTCCACTAGAACAGGTTGCTCAAAGCCCCATCCAACCTCGCCTTGAATACTACCAGGGAAGGGGCAGCCACAACTTCTCTGTGCAACCTGTTCCACAGGTCCACAGTTCACCACCCTCATAGTGAAGAATTTTTTCCTAATGTCTAACCTAAATCTACCCTCTTTCAGCTTAAAGCCATTCCCCTTTGTCCTATCACATACACCCTTGTAAAAAGTCCACTCCAGCCTTCTTGTAGGTCCCCTTTAGCTACTGAAAAGCTGCTACAGGTCTCCTAGAGCCTTCTCTTCTCCAGAATGAACAATCCTAGCTCTCTCAGCCTGTCTTCCTATGAGAGGTGCTCCAGCCCTCTGGTCATCTTTGTGGTCCTCCTCTGGGAATCCTGCTGCTCTGCCAGAGATTACCACTCCTGTAAGCGGAAGCAACAGAAGACTGTAGTTCCCTCTTCTCTAAGAGAACAAGAAGGGCAGGGCTCAGTAATGTATTGCAGATGCTTCGGTTCTTAGCAAAACATAGGGGACTTTAAACTGGAGTTTCTGAAGCACAGGCACCTGCTACCTCCTTTCCAGGCAGAGTGGCCTCTGATTAAAAAGATACAAAAAACCAGACACACAACCAAAAAACCCCAAACAGCCAGCTAAGAGACCTGAAAAATTGATCTCCTAGGTTCAGAGTGATGATTCTTAGAATGTAATATACTATATTAATTTAGACTCCCAAAACATCTTTGACAGAGATTATTTGTACCTTTTGCACACACTGGTCTATTTCCTGCTATTAAAAACAACTCCCCCCCCAAAAAAAACACAACCAAGCAAACAAAAAAATAACCCAGTAAAAAAAAAAAAAAAAAAAGCAATTGAGGCAAAAATATATACTAGATGATGTTGTCCCTGTGAAGATGGATTTACAGCCCAAACCGGTGAGGGCAATAAAATGCTAAACACTAATCTGTGGGGAATAGTCCCAGGTACCAGAATATCCCAAAGACAAAATGATTCTGAGAAAAACACTCTCTGCAGGGAATTGCTGAAGAAAATGATCTTTAATATTCCTGTATCCCAGTTTTCCCTAGTTACCACAGCAGGCAGATTTGGTCTGACCAGCATATGAAATTCACACTTTCAGAGAAGGCAATGTTAAGATTTGCGCTATAGTTGGTGCATGGGGAAGTTAAGACTGGTGTGACCTTGCTGAGAAAAGGTTTACGGCTCTCTGTCATGGAAAGCCATATCCCTAAAGCAAAATCTATGCGTTGCCCAAAACCTCTAATCTTAGCTCTCTCAAATGGATTCTGAGGTGATCTACCAAGTCCTTATCTAATTTCACCTCCCTTCAGCTACCGGTGCAATTGGACTGTCAGAGCAGAGGAAATGTGAGCACCTACAGCTGTACCACAGTGTGTGGGTCTTGTATGGTGCCTCCTGGATTTGCTTCACAGTGGCACTACCCTTGGTTGCTCACTGCTCTGGCCGGCAAAAAGACACTTAAGCAAACACATACAAGCCAACTCCATTACAGCTCCTCCTAAAAAAAGAGGTGAATCTTCCCTTCACTTGTAGCACAGCTTGAGAACAAACCAAAAAAACCCCCAACCAACCAAAAGAAAACCTAGCATCCACACCCCAGCCCCAAACACCCCACATTCAAATTCAGTAGGATATTAAAATGTCCTGTGAAAATGTGTAAGTGTTCTTAGTCCACACCAATCTTTCTGTAAATTTACATAGACCATCCTCCTCCCTTTTGTCAGTCAAATAAAATCCTTTGGCAATCTAATTCCTGGCTGTAATTCATATATACATGCACATGAATTGTACATACTCCTCACTTCTTTTTGTGGGGGTTACAATTTGCAGAAAGCCATTCTAGGCACCGGGAACAGACCATCTCCTCTTCCAAAAGGAAAACCTTACTGCAGGGGCCTCTCCAGTCCAAATGGTCAGGAATCCAATACACAACAATCTTGCAGAAATCAGCTGCCAGATTTATTATTCTACCTGAAAACCCCAAACAAACAAAACAAAAAAAAACCCAAACAAACAAAAAAGTGGAATAAAAACAGACTTTAAATAAACCTCTTAGGTACATTTTAAAAAGGGTTAATCAGTTCAGTGAAAGACTTTTGTATCTTCTGCTGAGAGATATGTAATGTTGGTCTGATTGCTTGCTTTGTTCAGTGAGTCACTACCGTATACAGATATATATATATTCCTTCTTAAATATTACACATTTGATGCATTTTTTTTCCTCTTTTTTACTGTTTTCCCTTTTTTTTTTCCTTTTTTTGTCCAACCCCTTTCCTAAATACCCCCATCCTGCCGTAGGTGAGAGGCGCTCCATGCTGACATTAAAGAACCAAAACCAATTCAAGGACTTTTCATCAAATCATGTTTCATTTGAACCTTATTTCAATGGAAACCACATTGTTTTAAACAATCTTACTTAACCTTCTTCCTTCCCCTTTTGCTAATTCTGCAGTTTCAGACTTCTGATTCTGGGTTGATCACTGAAAATTTAAGTGCATTTGAGACTTACGTATGACAGAATTAGGTGACATATTAAGGCATATATACACTCCCACAAAATATGTTGTCTTAAGGATCTGAGTAAATTAAATACCTGCCCAAATGTTTTTTATACACCTGTGGTTTCTAGTGACCATTACTTCTTTACTTTTAATTAACTGCATATTAAAATATTCATAGCTTAATCAGTGTCTTAACTGACAGAGGATGGAAAATTAACCCACACCTAGGACTGTCTTCGAAATCTATCCATTATGATGAAACTTATTCTTGTTGTTTTATGGTTATGCATTCATTTTCCTCCAGCTTCTTGGGAATATTGGAAAATGAAGTGCTCCGTGTACATTTTGCCTAAGTTTCATCAGGCAAAAAAAGAAATTCAGATCTTACCCTTCTCCCTCCCTTCAAACTAGGAAATATTATATTTCAGAAAAGGTGCTCATAAATAGTTAAAATTTTCAGGTTTTTGTCAGGGCTTTTTTCTTTTCTTTTCAATTTACATACATAATAGTAGGTGTGGCTTGTGTTCAAGATTACCCCTCTCAAAAAAAATAAAAAAATTTGAAAAAAATAACAAGGAAAAAAAAAAACAACCTCAAAATTTAAATTGTCTTCTGAGCATATCTGATCACATTTACATTTAGTGTCCAAACCAAGTTGATTGGTAACATCAGTGCCAGCACTACAACGTCATACAGCGACTTCATGGTATTGTTTGACAGTTCATCTAAGTCTCTGTTCCACCGAAAATTATGAAAGGTTCTGCAGAGCTTTCCTTAGCAAGCTGAAGCTTACTAGTCATTTGTGGATGCGCATAAATGCTGCTTATAGCACAGCTATGGCGTAAGCTATTTTCTAAGCAATAAATGGTTCAAGTCATCTATTTTGTCCTGAAATGCTACCTGTAGTTACAGAATTGCTTATAAATGGTCATAGTAAATTCAGCATCAAAGAGAATATTACAGAAAAAGACAGCAGCAGAAGCATTAGCATTATCTAGTATTTATATATGTTATCAACATAACACAGCAGTAAAAGGTTTAAATGCATATTAATGGGTACCGTGTCTAAAAATTACTAAAGTACCTATTTAGTGTATTGGATATTTTTCTCAAGGAGTGCTTGCTGTGTCTAAACAGCATAATTAGATATGTGACTTAGTACAGTTAATTCCTATTGATTAAATAACTTATTTATGTACCAAAGGAAATGGAAGGATAGAAAATGTTTTCTACCTCCCAATCATGATCCTGTATTTAATGCTGACATGATCATCAGAAAGCCTACCACATGTAATTACTACCCTCAAATGGATCTTGAAAGGTCTGAGCCATAGCATAGGCCATATGTATAGCAACATGGCACCAGATACAGCATGCAGCTTGCAGTCTGAAGTCAGAGATTTGCTGCTTGGTCACTGTACTTACGGCCACTCGGTCATTAAATAAGAGTTGTTTGGGGTCATCCAACTTTTTTATGAGGCCATTAAAAAAAAAAAAAAGGAAAAGAAAAGTGAAAAAAAGAGGAAAAAATAACAACAAAAAACAGGAAAAAAAAGGGAAAAACTCTTGAGATAGGTAGCTGGTTGTTTTCAGAGGCAAGGTGCAAGGTCTGCCACTGCAAGCTTCTAAATTAAATGCTGTGGTATATGCTTTGTTTCTCTTTTATAACTGCAGAAAGACAATTAAGAATGGCAAGAAACAAATGCCCTAGGCATGCTATGCTGATATCATCATCAAGTGGTTATTTTGCACAATGAGAATTAACTGTACTACGGATACCCAGAGAAAATGTACAATATCTTATGCTGATATGAAACAAAACAGACATGATACAGCTTTTTTGTACTTAAAACCTGTATGTTCCCTTCCCAAACTTACGTAAAAAGCAAACCCACCCTTTTTCTCCTGTTACATAGAATAACATTTAGGTTCCAACCCTCCCCTTTCAAATAAAGTGCGCTGTCCATGGCAGACCATAGGAGTAATGCAACAGGAAAAGCCCCTTTTAGTGTACTATTTAAAAAACAAACTGAAGTCGATTCAGCTTTCCTCTGGGTCTTGTGAAAGAGGAGAAGCCTAAGGGAGGGGGGAAACATCCCCTTCGCTGTCACTGTTGTTAATAGACATAGCCTTCGTTATAGGGGTGGGTGTTGCAGCAGCCACCGTCCTGCATGTAGACCATGCTTTCATCAAAGTGGGACAGAGGCACAGTGTCCTCCTCATTGATGTGGCGCTCCATGTCAGTCTTCAGTAATGGACGCTGGTTGTCTGGAAAAGCCATGGAGAAAAGCGCTTCAGGGTCGCAAACAAACTTGTAGACGTACCTTTCTCCAGCCACCTTAGGGTAACAGAAAGGAGAAAAAAATGCAGCGTAAGACCTTGTGGTTTTACAACTCCAAGTTCAACAGTGTTGTGAAGAACCCACCTTCATTATGCAATTAATAATGTGACAGCAGAACTAGTAAGGCAATGACCTAGCAAAACATCAGGGATCTGCAGAAGCAGACTGCGCAGAACGCTCTTGATTTTGCCACACATGATATCCTGTTGGAAGATGGACTAGGTGTTCTAAACACTTGTTTGCAATCGTTTCCTATACTTAACCACAAATGGAACTGTTCTTACTGGAAAATGTAAACAAATTGTCACTATAGTGGCAAAATAAAATGACTAAGTCCAACATTCTGTGTGCAAAGTGGAAAAAAGAATCACATTGCATGATAGAGATCAGAATTTCACTTTACACAGATTGATTCATACTTACGTATAAAAGCACTTAAGTTATACTGCATGCTGATTGTACAGGGACAGTGTAAGCAAATACATAGGCTAATATGTACTTAGCAATTGCTCATGCAAAGCTGGGACATTTGGATTTGCTTACAGAGGGGCAATTTGTCCTACAGTTTCCCCTTATTCAGAAATAGCACTAAATGTCTCTGCTGCATCTTCCTGAAAGCTAAATACAGGTCTTATTTAAAAAAAACAAAAAACAAAAACCAAACACAAACAAAACGAAACAAACAAAAACTAAACCTGCATGCTCATAGTTTATCAAAATTATTTTAAAATAAATGTTATATTGTCTGCTTCTTGCAATTCTAGCTAGCACAGCATTGGAAGATAGTGAATGAAGGTGGCGAAAGTGTTGCAAACAAATCTATTCTTATTGGTGCAAAACAGTCTGAAGCACCTCCTCAAATTTTCAGCTAATTTAGTCTACAAATAATGTAAAGTTTTAGTAGAGGCTTTATCTGCAGTAGAATTTTTTTTAATAAATGCATGTCAGCAAGTTTGACAAACTGATGGCTGCATTCAGAAACTGGGCATTTGCATTATGTGTTGTCATTGCTCAACTTAAAAGGAGAAATATGCGCATACAAACCTTGCAGTAAAGAAACCCACTGTGAATCTACAACCACCATTACTTTCTAACATACACTAACTGGCCAGATAGGGTGACGCCAGAACAAACCTCAAGCATTGCTATGTTAGAAAAACAAGCACCCAAACCACCTTTTAAAATGTGTGGTTAATACATTCATGTAGATAGTAAAGTAGTTTAAGAAGAAGTAAGCTAGGTGTCAGAAGTATTTGTAAACTTTCCATATGTAATGGATGCGTGGGTTGGTCAGTATTATCAGCCTTATGGTATTCCCATCCCCAGATTTTTCAACTTGTTTCACTCTGCTGCTTGTTCTTGCCTCTATGCTACTTTGAACTATGCCCAGACAACTGCCTATGCAGCTGAGCTGTAACGTGCTACGAGGAACCCCTCTGCCTGAACACTGCCCAGCAAAATCAAGCATTTCTGCTTCTCCTTGACCCAGGGAGACCCAGTCTCCAGTCCACTTTACAGAGACTCAATGCACAGTTATGTGATATACAAAAATGGATGGGGTACTGTGCTACTGAAGTACCATAAATTGATATTAGCCCAGACTGTCATTCAAGCTGACTCTTGGTCAGTGAAAAAGGAGAGCACTACAACAACCCCCTAATCAAAGCAAAAGAAATCGTAACAGGCAACTCCAAACCAAGACTTCACAAAACCTACTGGAAAAATTACCCAGTAACTTGAGCAGAGAGCATTGTTTCCGTTCATGGTAAATGGCAAGTTCAAACATGTTACTCATCACAGGTCACAATACTAATATGAAAAGATATGGATCAAGCACAAGGTGTTCATTGTGATCTTTGATCACATGTGCCAGTTTTGTAGATGCAGCAGAGGTCTTTCCTATTGATTTCTCAACCTACATAGCACTACATAGCAAGATTTAAAAACATACATGTAAATCAGCAAGCTGCAGTAGAAGGACTGTCAGCAAGACCAGACTGTTATATATAAATTATTGTTGAATATTTCTCATAATTCAGCCTATTATAAAATATTAAATTCCACTTAAAAATGGTATTATTACAACACAATTGGTAAAATATTAAAGTATTTGGTATGTTAATAGGTATCATTTTTCTCCCCTATCTTGCACTTACCAAAGTACCCAAGTGCTGGGCAGCTAATTTAGATCTGCAAAAGATTATTCATACCGTACTCTACTGTTTGCCTTTCCCAGGTGTCAGGAAGCTCTTTTGGGTATTTCTGAATATTACATCTTTCCCTAAAATCATTTTGTGCATTGTGTGAACTAAAACCACAGACATATTTTATATAGAAAAAAAACAGTCTTGATGAACATACTGGACCTGGTAAGTAAAAAAGCTTAATGCTTGCCTAAATAGGTGAAAACCCTACCTAAGCAATGCACTTACAAGTACTCTTAATAAGCGGACTTATGGATTAACATGCTACACTGGTGAAATTCAGTACAAATTAGCTACTCACCTTTTGCATGATTCCCTTTTCATAATAATAGCGAAGTGATCGGCTAAGTTTATCATAGTTCATAGCTGGCCTATTTTTCTGAATCCCCCAGCGACGTGCCACCTGCCACAAAAATGGATTAGCATTGATTTGTTAAATGCATTTAACAAGCAGATCTTACCATCAGATAATTTATTTGGAGATGGAAGACGTGGAAGAACCCTGCAGGTGCAACAAGCAAATACAAAAGAAAAGGTTGCCATAACCTGAATTTCCCATGTAGTACTATGATTTTTAATTGCACACACAGTCATCCACAAAATTTGAAGCAGACTTACTTATTTGCAAATATGGTGGAGGACTGGGGAGGAGGGAGAAGGTGTTGTGTGTGTGTTTTAATACAGAAAACCAGTAAGAAAATACAGTCATATAAAGAGATTATAGACAAAAAATATTTATCAAGTTCCACCAGAAAATTTTCATAAAAGATGCAAACTTTTCTTTAGTTTGATACAGTTGCGTAATTGTACTATTCCTGTGTTTTCCTTGCTGTCAGAAGGCCAAGTTACATGAAACACACATGCATATGCACTTAGTTCATGAACTAATACAGACTGTACTTGGAATGATAGCAATAGTGAAATTATTAGGAGATACAAGTCAAAAGCCAACTCCCAGTCTTAAATGATACCTCAGCAAAGAAAACGAATTATCAGAGGAGGTGGGGTAATCGCTTGGAAGAACTATATCGCAGTATGAAGAATGGGACAGAAACTTCATAGTTGCAGTTGTATAATTTCCCTTAAAAAATAACAATAAAAAGGGAGTTGCAAGCAACTCTTGAAGCCACTCCATAGAGAACAATATGACTTATGCTCCGACTTATGATTTCTACTTGCCTTTATACTTCCTGTTTTATAGCCAAAGGTAGTTTTGGACAAAGAGACCTTTTGTTTGAAGAGCTTAACTGTTTATTCCCCACCTGAAATTAGAATCGGCTGTTGGTGACATTTCAGTTATTGGCTGTACAAATGACTATCATGTCACCAGAGGGGAAAAAAAGTCAGAGCTGATGAACTCTTTAAAGCACATTTTATAAAAACATTTGAGGTGCATATGCATACAGCTCTGGAAAAAGGAGAGAATAGCCAAGCAGCTTCTCTGCAGAGTGCTCTTATAAAACCTTCCCATAGGTATCTGGAGCCTTTCGATGCAAACCACAGACAACACGCAGCACTGAGAACTGAAGGGGACTAAATAACAACAGCAAAATCCATGACTTTGATCTCTGTCAAGACAATAATTCTTAAAATTTCTTTTGAAAGCATTATTTCCTTTCAGTGGTGCAGCTTTTCAGGCTTATGTAAATTATCATGGCCCTGCTAACTCCAGCTATGTTATAGCTGTACTGAAACATACCTCAAATCATGTCAATTTATTCCAGCTGTAGATTTGGCCTAGATGCATAACCTTGATTTGCCTACTCATCTTTATAACATGTGCCTACATCACTCTTTGTTTATCCTACCAAGGTTTTTTTTCTGTATTAATCAGAGTCCTAAAAGTCCACAAAACGACAGGCTTGCATGATAAATCAAAACACAGTGAAGACAAATAACAACAAAATAATGGTTGATAATATGCTATATTGTGTGGTATTTTGACATCCCTAAATAAGCAAGCAGGTCCAGAAATAGTCTTGGTATGCGAGTCTTCCTATCCCTGAAGAGCACAGAGTAAGATTTCATAAATGCTGTGGAAGGGATTCAGGTTTCTAGCCTTCCATCCCACCTTTGGGCTAAAGGTTGCTGTCCCTGTGACAAAGCAGCATAAACGGACCTACATCTAATTCTTAGCTCCACAGCCCACAGTTACCACAGTTCTGAATGAACTATGATGCTAAAGGAGATGATACATATTAATTTTTGTTGTCACCCTTTCTACAAGGGTATAAACCTCTAGAAAAGGATGGGATGGAAAGGTCATGTCATTAACATCCTAATCTGCCACAGCTGAACCAACAAGCTCTTTGACTTCCCTTCAATTTACACCTGGCAACCAACAGAAGTGTGCAACTTCCTATCGGCTATTCTTATTTTAATTGACAGTTCCTGTCAGATCCATGACATTCATATGAAAACAACTTAGGCCCCTTTGTACTCTCTAAGAACAGACAGAAGTGAGGCAAGTTTCAAGTAGCCTGCCTCCTCCAGGTTCTGGATGCAGTGCTGCTGAGAAACACAAAGCAACTGCTACAAAGCCAGAGAAGCAGATGATCTGGTTTACTTAAACCAGAATATCCAGCTCTTCAGGGAATTACACAGTAAGGAAACCTTAGGGGTTTGCTTTGCTACTTTTAATTCCTTAGCTAATAAAATCTGTAAAGTTTTTGCACCATCTGCTGGAAATCATTTTTCAATAAAACTTTTCAGTCTTGAAAAACTTTGGACATATGTTAAAGACAAGACAAAACAAAAACACTAAAAAATACTGAGAAGAGGGTAAAATTAGATACCTCATTCACTGAACTCAGACAAAAGCCTTTCCAAAGATTTCACTCTGTTCCAGGCCAGGCCGCACAACTAAGAAGTCCATGGAGGCTGCTAAGGCTGCAAACTTGCAAGCAAAGTTTTTGGTAGGAAATCGACTAAGACTGTTCTGTGGTTAAATCCTCAGAAGCACAATGCCAGGATCTGCTACAGTGACTATCACTAGCGTGGGAGATGCTCAGACAAACAAGAGCCAGCACACGGGTCCTTGCAGCAACCTCCCCTCTGCCAGACCATGTCAGGAAGGAATGGGCAATCAATCCTGTCGCCATCCCCAACTACTCCATCATTCCCTTAGGGCTGTTGGCACATGATGTAACTTAAATGCAAGAAAGCTTTCAAACTGCTTATGCCAGCAGATGGATGGCAAATGGCAGAAATAGCTGGTGGAACACACAAGCAGCCTTACACCCCCAAACATTCCTACTCAGCTCAGAGGGGATCCTGAAAGATCTGCTGCAGTCTCCTCTATTACCCAACCCTGTACAAGGTGCAAAAAACTAAACCAAAATGATACTACTTTTTGACAGCCCTACTCAAATCACCCAAATCAGTATTACAATCAAATTCACACACACACAATTTTCCAACTGTTTCCACTGCTCTCTAGATCACAGGATAGATAATGTAATGTTACCTAGTCCAAAAAAGTTTATATAATAAAATGTGCAATTTATTCCTGTTTATCGCACAAGTGAAATAAGTCATGCTTCAGCAAATGTTCATGAATACAAGTAATTTTAGCTACCCCACGAGTCCTTCATGGTTCAGGAGAGCTATGCATGTGCATGAGCGTTTGCAAGCCTAGGAACTAAGCATACACTAAACAACCTAAGGATACAGATAAGCAGAAAGACTGAAGAAGACTCTAAATTTTGATGGGATTTTACTGCTTAACAATCTTAATCTCCTAAAATTTCCACATTCCCACAACTTCACATTGAAAAATATTTGGTGTTGAAAACTATTCAGGGACAAGCTCACAAAGGATTTTGGAACACAGCTATTCATGAAGTGGTTCTGATAAATCCAGGTCCCACAATTTATGCTGAGTACTTCGTAACTCCAGCACTTACAATATTTTTATTTTTTTGTGGGACTAGAAATCAAGTTTATGCTTAACCATGGCTCTGTCTTAACTGAAATACTTCCCTTGGCAGGGAAGTATATCATCACCCTTCTAGAGCGCTAGTGAAGCAAAATATTGAAGGAAAACAAAGCCTAAGTCTGAAGGAGCACTATTACATTTGCAGGATGGGACAGTGGAAGTCAGGGCATGCTCCCTGGCTAACCTACCTCCTCCGGCTCAATCAGCTTGAATTCCATGCCTCGGCCAGTCCACGCTATGAAGTGAGAGTTTGATGGGTCATCAAGAAGAGCTACCAAGAACTGCCACAGCTGAAGCGAGCCTCGCCGTTGATACGTGGGTCCCTCACGGTACATGCCTGGCTCCTGTTTGACATCACCTAAACAGAATAGCAACAACATTCGATGAGCAATGCATAAAATGCATCAGCACTCTGCTAATCAGATAAATCAGCAAAGCAGTCATTGGGCTTAATAAAACAGAGGCAAAGAATTCTTGCTACCCAGTCACCCACAAATGCAACATTCCCCTACCTGCTGTTAAACACTCTTAAAATAACATATTAATATACCAAAAAGTACCTAAATTCAGTCATGATTTATGGTAATCTCCCTAAGCCTATCCCCATTTACTTCAGATACATGCAAGTCTTGCCTGCAAACCATTTTGCAATATCCTCTATCTGTAAGAGCACAAACTATTTTTGTAAGCAACTCTGATGTCTTAAGAACTGCATTTGTGTACTATACGTTGCACAAGCCCCAGTTTTCGAAATGTAATGTATGCCTCATAAAGCTGCAAAACCTTACTGAGAGAAACTTCTTTTGCATGCAAATGCTTCTAAGAAAATTTGATGAAGTATTTGACTTGGACTTAAACAGCATGTGCTTTATGTATAGGTATGCAAATCCTACAGATATGTGAGTTCCTCTGTGGCATATTGGACTTGCATATAAGCACACGTTACTTTTACTCATATCTACATATTATATTAGTATTTCTTAGAAAAGCAGTAAGTTAATTTTTCTAAAATTTCAAGTCCAGAGGAAGCTTTTAAAAAACAGTAATATTCTGCTAGCTGTTCCACAAACTGCTGATGAAAAACCATCCTGCTACATCCATACTGTGTCTCTGCTGTTTCTTAATCATATTCACACTAAACAACTCATGCAAACAAAAACAGCTGAAAGGTGTGATGATGAAGCAGGGAGCATTTTTCTTCTACACACAGTGACAGCAATTCATGATATGCTGGCAAACCCCCTCATCTCAACTACCAGAACAGCAATACCCCCGCAATAAGCAGTGTGACCTGTTTAATACCGAATGCCACGAATTCACATTTGACCACAACATTAGAATGCTCTGATGGCCATTACCGAACAGCTTTGTGTAGTGAAAGAAAAAATAATAATATTAAAAATGGATCACTTCCTTTTGTAATCAGGAAAGAAAATTGAGTCAATAGCTATGGAAAACAAATAAATTAACACAAAGCTTTTTAGTTTATGTGAGGCTCAAGTTCCAGTCCTGACAGGCCTTCTTTTTCAAGGACAGGATTTTTTTATTGATGGCTGAGCAATGCACAAATAGCAAGTGCTGTATTACAGAGGATCACATTCTTTGTCTGTGCTGATCTTTGATTTCAAATGAAGCAGCTCAGAATCTGCTTCTGAAACATCAAGACTATTCCTGGGCTTATTCCACTTTTGCTTTACTGGCCAAAACATGATGATACATCTGCTATTTTTTCCTCAAAAGTCCTCTTGCTACTAGTATAAACACAACCACTTGTATCACAACATCTGTCTTCTAGAGTACAAGGTGTTCTCTCAATGGACAGTCATAGAAACTAGCAACAGACTACTTACTTTGCAAGCACTCAAATATTTCCAAACATTAATCTCTTGTACTTTATTTTGTACTGCTTTTCCATTTTCATTCCCTTCCCTGTACAAAACCCAAACAAACTAAAAGGATTTTCAAGAAAGACACAGACAAAATGCTACTCCTGGAGAGTTTTAACTTCTTGAAGTACAAAATCTGATCCCATACCCATAAATGCGAATATGAATTTTCCACTGGTACTAAAAAAAGATTAGGTCCACAATCAATTTTGGGGGAGGAAAAAAGCTGATGTGACGTGCTTTAAAAAGGAAATTAAAATTAAAACAAAACCAACGTAACATTCCAAAGCCGGAGTATAAAGCAGACATTAAATAAATCACCCTTTCAATGAAGGTGTCAATACAGTGACAGTGTAATACTGGATTGAGCAATCTCCAGTTAGATGTAGCATTATTTAAAATCCTTCATTTATTCCTTGCTATTCCTTTGCTATTCTTGTAATCCTGAAATGCACATGGTATCACTGTTTGAGAAATGTGAAATTCTTCAGCTTACTTTCATTTTAGAGTCTCCCGTTCTTCAGCAAACACAACAAATGCTGCTAGACACGCGGTAGTTTTGTAATCCATGTAAGTGATTCTCAGGGAAAAACAAACAAAATAAAGCAGGACATAAACCCCAAGACTTTTCCAGCTCTACTTTTAGCTATGGTCAGAGAGCTGTTCACAAGTTTATCAGAAAGTTTCTGATCTTTCCTGCTAAAATAAATAAAGCTGGACAGACATATACTAACAAAAAGAAGCCACTCTATCAAATTTAAGTAATTGGTGTTCGAATTACTTCCCTAAGTTGCAGACTAACAGAGTCACCAGCAAGAAATACTGAGTCCATCTACTTTGTCTATAATGAAATAAATCTGAAATCAACTGAGTTACACCAGGAAACTGATTTTACATCAGAGTAACTGAGAATAACTTGGGCCGTTTATTTTAATTCCTCAGAATCCCCCTTGAAAAAAAAATAAATCCGTTGTAATGGGTAGAACAGTGAAAATGATTTGATGATCAATAATTTGTTATCAATCCCACTGAAAAATAAAACACTAGTACAGTGTTTAACCTAGTGCAAATACATTGATACAAACACAAAAATGCCCTATACACTCACTCCCCACTATTCATCACTTCACAGACAGCAAGACAAGAGGCTTACTCCTCAGTAAAACCAAAGCTGCTTCTTTCTGCAACGTTTTGTTAATTATAAGAAGAGCTTTCATTAAATCTCAAACAACAAGCAGTATGTGATCATCAGTGCAATGGAAATCCTCCTACTGCTTCACAACAGTACAGGAACTGAGCTCCTCTGCCACAACTCTGGATATAGCATCTTTCACTGCCAAAAGTCGAACAACATCCTATTGAACAGAAGACTCTGGTTTCCAGAGACAAAGGTCAGCTTTGGTTGGGTGCACTGCAAACGGTGTGTTAAGGAATCCTAAATTGGAATGTTACCGAGCTTTTTTGATCAGCAACAGAGAAAAGTCCCTCATCTCTTCCTTTTTCATCTCCCCACACAAGAAAAAGAGAGAGAGATGTGTCATACATACCGTCAAACTTCTCTGGAACAACGCAAGTGTCATCATAAAACTGCCTAGGTCCTTTTTCATACATACAGCCTGTAAGTTAAAGAAAGAGGGGTGTTTATATAGAAGATGCATGGAGAAAGAGGAGATCATAGGCTTAATGCCAGAGGGAACACTAAGTCATAGAGGAATCAGATTAATATCCCACATCCTTTACACACCGCCCAATAGCAACATTTTGGCCACAGTAGAGGGGTGTTTAATTAATGTGCACATTCCCAAAAGACTGTTAATCTCCACCTGCAAAAATGAAAAAGCATCCATTTTTCTGTATGATTTATTCCAAAATGTTTGTCTCATTTCCTCTTTGAACTAGCATGGCTTTGACTTTTAAACATTAGTTCCTGTGGGTCTTCTCCCATGAGACTAAAAAAGTCCTACTTGGTATTTCCTCCTCACACTCACAGAAGTCACACACTCACCTTGATGTTTCTTCCAATAATGATAATTCTGTAAAATTTAATTTGCTGTTGTTAAAAGACACTCTCTGCAACCCTGCATTCTTTCTAGCACTCTCTTCAGTACACGCTTTCACTTTTCAGTATTATTTTAATGCTTTGCTTAACCAGAACTGTACTGCATGCCAGTTTTCAGCCTCACCAGTGCTACTTAGCAAGACAAAACATCTCCTGATCTCCTGCCACCCTATGACCCTCCTTCTGGCTGTGCAAATATTACAGAAGGCTTTTTTGCTACACGGCTGCAATGTTTGGTTGGGCTGTTTTCCCACTGTGAAGCTGAGGAGGAGGAGGCCCATCTCAAAACCATTTTTTCCAATACCCTGGTCTACATTCAAGCATATTAAAAAAACATTTTGTTTAATGTGCCCACATTACCAAACAATTCAAATTGCTTTGTGTGACTGCCCTGTCCTGCCCGTTATTTACCACTCTCTCTATCTCTGTGCCATAAAGTTATCTATTAACTTTGTTCCCTGTCTTTACTGAAAATGTTGAATAGCAACACTCCTGGTATCAATTCCTACAGAACTATAATAGAAACAATCCATTCAGAAATGATTGACCAGTGACAGCCACTTTTAGATCTGTCAGTCGGCCAGGTCTTAATGTATTTAATGTGTACTTTATTGATACTGCTTTGTGCTAACTTCTTAATCAGAATGTAATGCAGCGGCAAACTGAATGTCATAAAAAGTCTAAGGATAGGATACAAGTATCTTTATCAATCAAATGTTTAATCTCAGCAAAGAGCAGAATCAGATTTCATATGACCTTTATTCCATAAAATCATGTTGACTGATTTCCAAATACAAAAGCCAAATATTTATCAAACATCACTGCTTTTTCTACGTCATTCATAAACACTTTTACCACCTCCAAGTACCTATGAGTGCATAACATGGCTAAGATAGGGGAAAAACAATCTGTGCTGTGATTAAAACTCAAATCTGTTGACCTTAGACCTGCAGTTTGTGGATTTTTCCCTGATGTCTTTCACCTCCCTTATCAAACTTCTATACTTCATGTAAATTCATACACCAAGACTGTTATAAATTTCCATCTCCTGTTTCACCCTTCTTGTTAAACACTACCTTTTATTTTTATTTCTGCTTTTATTCCACCCCAGAAGCAGTTGGGCTTTTAGCCAGATCTGTTATCTTTCCAGTTATGTCTTTTCACTAGTGAATGAAGTTTTACTAGAGGACTCCAATTCATACATCTGTCTGAATTCTTGTCAATCTGAAAACCAATTTCCCTCATGTTTGTGAAATTTACCCCTTAGGAGAAAAACAAACAAACAAAAAATCCTGTATTAGCAAGAAAGATATACCAAAGCAGAGAAGTGGGGGGTACCACCTCTCTTTCAGTAGTCATTTTTTCTTAGTTCTGATGGCCTTCTGATTTTTAATACATATAAAGTGCTTTTAACTCAGAATTATTAATTCTGACAATAATCTCAGCTCTGCCCTACTGAAGTCACTGAGAGTTTTGGTATGTATCACATGGCTGTACAATTTGGGCGTAAGCAGCATCAAAACACCACAAAAATTGTAACAGAAGGAAAAGCCAAAAACCTTCACTGAATTTGAAGTAGAAAATGGATTACTTAACAGTTAACTGAGCCTGTCACACCAATAGCCTGGAAAATACCACTTGACCAGAATGGGCGAAATGGACAAATTTTTGAGTGTCTCTTCCTTTCAACAGCTGGGGGCCTTGAAAAGCAGAATGAGTAAACTCATAAAAAGAATTGTTTCTACCCTGATCAACCCGTGGCACTAAAAGAAGCAGCAAAAAAAATCAGTGCATCAGAAACTCAAGACTGGGAAGGGAAAGAAAGATGATGCAAGTCTTCCCAGCAGCAGAATTAAACCAATGAACCCCAAATCCCTCCAGGCTTTTTAATTTTTTACATTTCTCTCATACAAAAGCAATATATAATAGAAAACTTAACTTCTGTTCTGTTTGGGTGAGCCAGGAAGCCTTCTTGCCTCATGTAAATGGAATGGCAGCTAGGCACTTCTGAAAGGAGAAGACGACAATGCTAATCAAAAGGCTGTAATTAAAACTGTGCAGGTTATCAATGAGACAGGCTGCAGGCAGAAGAGCAACAAAAAGGATGCAAGTTACAGCGAGGGGAAGCCTGTCAACACACAGTCAACATTTCAGAGCAGCACGCACAAGGCATGGTGGAGAAGGAAATCATAATGTGAGGATCACAGATCCCATCTAACATCAGCACTTGAACTCAAACCCTTACTGTAATCAACCTTCCTAAAAGATGAATCCCATGACAATTACACTTTAGACCATTCACAGACCAAAAAATCCACAGAAGACTGCTAATATTTTAAACCCTGTACTTTTGTTTCTATGTAACTAATGTGACCTAACATTCTTTATCAATTACACAGAAAAGCCTGCCAATCACTGGAGACTTATAAACTCTACATTAATGCAAAGAATGTCAGAGTGACTTTAGAGTAGGATATTGCTTTTTAGAGTCTGGTTAAGGGTTTGAAGGGTTAATGAAATTTTCTGCTATTGCTAAGCATTTAATCTAGGAATACAGATGCATCTATTTTACCCTCCACTTGTACATCCTTAAACAAAAAAAGACACACACCCCTTCCAAAAAATTACTGTGCACATTCTAAGTAATAGACATCTATTTGCCATTCCCCACGTCTACTCAAATCTGCAAGAATAATAAGAAAAAAACAAAGAGAACTAATGAAAACGGTGTACTTTAAATGTCTTTCCATTTTTAACCCATGTCTTGTGCTGTACCCAAGTAGCCACATCCTGTGCACAGGGATTTGCAAACAGAAGTATGCCATAAATGTTTGCCCTTCTAGACTATGTTTAAGCCACTTCTTGGATATCAAAAGTCCTGCTTAACAAAGTCTATTTGATCTTGTGATAAACTCCTACCCTAAACTATGTAATCTGTTACCAGTAACTTGTAACTCTTTAAGACATGCAAACAGAGGTCGAAAGAGCAGACATTATTTTTCCAACACTGCCTACAGACTCTTTCAGACTGTGATTCCAAATTTCACTGTTCACTGACTAGTGATGAGTATCAAAGATCTGGCAAGATAAGAAAATCAGGTTTTACACTGACTTCACAAAACAAGTGAAACACGGTGCATTAATAGTAAGTTTCCTCTAACAGTCCACGGTCTCCCTTCCACATCTGTGCTGAACTCGTCGTTACCTCTTCTCTCAGTGAAACGCCCAGTGCCTGCCTCCTCAGGCCCCGAGAATCTCTAACGTCTCAGGCAGCTATTCTGAGCAACCACAGCAATCAGTGATTCAGTGATCACACGAGTCAAGTATAGCTCTGTAGACTAGAAGTCAAGGCTATAAGTAGCGGTTCACCTGCAAGGAATCACTCTTTTTACCAAGTAGATTTAATGTTAAGGAGGTTGGAAAAATCTACGTAAAAAAGGAGGAAGTTGTAGAACTGAAACAGATGCTATTTTCTATTTTAGGTAAAAAAAATCACTTATATTGGCAGAAAAACCCTTTTTGACTCATGAACTCCACTCTTGCAAAGTGATACAGCAGAGTATACAGAATAAAGAATTAGGCACACATCCACGAAGTTGTGTTCTTAGCCAATTTGGGGTTTCAACTCCCATGCTCCTAAGTCAATCATAATTAACATCTGGAGTCTTTTTAAGGCAAGCATTATTTGTACCAACATTACTTAATCTTCTGGTTAGCTTGTGCTTAAACAGTCCACAGAGGACCAAAAAATATAGCAAGGAAGAGTTTATTTCTTGTAAAGTAACTACAGCCTTGTTATCCTAAAGTGCTATCAGTTAATTTATGACTATCAGAGTGGGTCAGACTCTAATCAAATTGTAGAAACATTTCCAAAGTGATTATTCAATCAAATGACTAACATGGTTAATTAGGAGCCATAAACATTGCTCTGAAGTTCATCAAAGTAATGACTTGCCCAGAAAAATTACTGCTAATTAAATTGCCTGCTGCTTTCATTTCTACCTTATCTAATAAAAAGTCCAACCAATGAAATTTAGCATTGCAGTTTTAAATTGTACTAAATGCTTGACTAAGACCCGCAAGTATTTTTACAAGCTAAGCGGAGCTACTTCAAAAGAAAACATTTTAGTGCAGAAATTACAGAGCAATTATGTATTTTCTTCTCCTTAAAGCATTGTTTCAAGACAACAAATGAAACAGAAGTAGGCATAAAATACATCCAGTGTAGGATTCAAGTGTTTGAGGTGACTGATTCTATCACCTTTTAGCAATTTTTAGTCTTTGAAAAAACATGTGCCTGGATTAAGGACACAAAAGAAGCTTATTTCAGGCTTTTAATGAAGTAATTCACATTTTAAAGTTACATAATCTCAAGAACGGCAGAGTCTTTTTAAAAAAAAGAAAAAAACAACCCAAACTAACTAAAAACATGAAGACATAAAAAAAATTATTTATCTTTATTAATTTAAAATACTTAGAGGTCATTCTTCATTGCTCCTTTTGCTAACAGCAACATAGCAGTCATCTTAAAACAATGAATATGGCCTTATATCATGT